CAAGTTCAGTTTTTTATTCTGCAAAGGTCATACTGAAAAGTATAAAGCTTCTCCTTCTGTGACAGAAGCATAGCACTTGGGGAAGAGGAGCAAACAGTCTCTGAAGGGTGCTGAAGTTCCGAGCTTGGCTGAAGTAGGGACTTTCGTCACCAGACCGTTTCCTTGTCTGTAGAGGAAACAGGCAAGTTCAGGCTGGGTCTGATACAGGAACGCCTTTCTGCTTACCTCTCCATGTCTGAAACCCCAGGAATGCATCAGGGAGCAACTCCTCTTGGCAAGGACTCTGACCACGAGGCCCTTCTAGACACAGTCTGCTTTTGCAAAGCAACACTGCATCCAGTCTCCCTGTCCACAACCAGGCACTGCGTTCAGCTGCCTGGCAGAGCCCCAGCCAGAGGGCTGTGCAGGGCACATGTGAGGAGTCCAGTGGCACAGCAGAGTGTGCAAGTGCTGCGTAGGAGGCTTAAGCCTACCAGACATCCCACAATGCTTACAAGCTGGGCAGCTGCATTTTGCACAACTCTCAGGCAAAGCAAGAGGGGGCCACCCAGCTAGCAACGCAGTCCCCAAGTGCTCTCACTCCTGTTAGGCCCAAGAAGAAGCTGGAAGAATCCAGCTGGCAGTAGCCCTCAACCATGTCTGTGGGGACAGTAGGGCAGCAGAAGGCAGGGTGCTGGTTTTCACTCCTCTGCATATGCTGCATTCTCCCTCACTGCAGGAGGAAAACAGCAGGAAAGCTTCTTTGTGAGCTGAGCTGCAGCATTTTGGCTATACTGTTCAGAACACCCACCCAGACATGCCAACACTACCAGCTAGGTTTCACTCCAGGTTAGAAGTAAGGATCACCTCCCAGGGACCAAATCACTCCCTGACAGCAGGAAGTGCCTCACCCAGGGGCTGTCCAACCCTTTGGTTGGACATGGCTCTGGAGCAGCCCACATTCCCCAAGCACTCAGCTAGCCCTGTGACCAGTGCCAGGCTCAGGGTGATCGAGTACCATGCATGTCCATACTAGTCATGGGTTTCCCACGTCAGCCTATTCTCTGCACAGCCTGGTGGGGGAACCACCAGAGCTGCTCCAGCCTGGCACCTGGAGGTGACCCCCATGTCTCTCCCCTCCATGAGCCACTGCCAGTGTGCTGCTGAGACCCCCAAGAAACTCAAAGAAGAGGTAGGTGTTCAAACACACTACTTCCAGCTTTACCTCCCTGCACAAGTTGTTTGATGCCAAGAGGATACTCGGCAGGTGAAGTATTAAAGCCGACTGACCTTCTTCTGGGCCTGATGAAGCACAAGCCTAACTGACGACAGCTGCTCTGACACTGAAACAGAGGCTACAGAATATTGGATCAAATCTTATCCACACTCCTCTCTAGCGAGCACAGCCTGGCACAGGAGGAACCAGGCCTGGGCACTGTGCAGGAGCATTTACTCAAGGCAGGAGGACCTCAACTGCCTCTTGAAACAGGAGCAGCATCGGGGCTGATCTCCAGTTCTCCTTCCCTCTTCTGGGATTAGGTTTCTACTATCTGCATTTTTGCTGATGTCTGTGCTGCAGCTAATGGCCAGCTCTGGATCCATTAGGTTCACCAAGTCCTGGTCTCCGGATATGCTCTGGGCATCAATACCTGTTCACCCCTGCCATTTCCTGATGCTTTTACTACCGTGGTCTTGCGGCAGACAGTAGTTCCTGGGGTCAGAGCCAAATAGGGTCAGCAGCCACGAGCTCCGGCTTTTATCCAAGTCAGCAGGCCCTCCACCAACTCCAGCCCCATCATCAGCACAGCTGGAACACCCAGCAGGCATCATGCACATACAGCAAGGGGTGGGAATTTCATCTTGTGGAGTACTGACACCCCAAGTTTCCAGCTAGCAGTGCCTATGTGTAGGGACTAACAAAAGATTCTACCCTCGTGACCCAAATCTCTTTTTTCCCTTGAAATGCTCTTGAACAACCTGCACCGGGAGCTGCTCGCTGGTGGGATAGGCGAGACCATATCCAAACACATCTAGCCAAACCTACCCCCCTACACATGCTTGTGGAGTCTCCATCATCTCATGCAAAAGTAATTGGGTTAATTACAACAAAAAAAAAAAAAGACAAAGGGACTCCCAACAACCCCAGAGCAGAATTTTTTCTGCCTGGAAAAGTTCACAAGCCATATGACACTGTCCTCCCTGCCACCTCTGAGAAGGTGCCAGGGGCATGGCTGTGAGCCAGGTCCTCAGGTGCCTGCCACACATTGTCACCAGCAGAGCTGGGTAGGTGTTTTCAGCTTAATAGTTATTGATTGAAAACTGCAGTTTCCAGACAGCTCAGACCTATTTCCTCTTTCAATGCAAGTTTTGGACAGGAACAAAATGCTTTGTTTTCCAAGCAAAAAGTCTCATTTTGCATTGTTTTGCTTGTAATTGAGCTGCATTACATTTAAAAGAAAATATAAAAGGTCTCTCAATTTCATCTGTGCTGAGGTTTTTTTCCATCCAGTTTTTCATTTTGGGCACTAAATCAAGCAGTTAATTATTTGTTCAGCTCTGCTCTCCAAACAAGTAGAGATCATCATGAGCCAAAGGGCCAGAGCAGCTCTGCCCAAGCTACAGTGCTGAGGAGGTGTTGATGGTTTTTGTGCTGTAGGCTCCTTTCAGGCCTTAGCTCGAGCTCCCTCGGGACTAGCAGGCACTCACCTGGGAGGAGGAGAGCAGGGCCATGTAAGAGGAATGGCAGGTGCCCCACTGAAAGGGCATCCACCTGCTCCACTGAACAGTGCTTCAGGACACACAAGGTCACTACCCCTGCTTGAAGGACATGCTAGAAGCAGGGCTTCCCACGCCAACTGCCCTCCGCAGTGCAAACACAGAGTCATAGACTATCTTCAGGTGGAAGGGTCTCACAAGAATTATCAAGTCCAACTCCTGGCTGCACAGAACCCCAAAAACCACACCATGCAACAGACCGTTGTCCAAACACTTCTTGAACTTAGCCAGACTTGGTGCTGTGACCATCTCCCTAAGGAGCCTGTTCCAGTGCTCAACCACTCTCCAGGTGAAGAACTTTTTCCTAATATCCAACCTAATCCTCTGCTCACACAGCTTCATCGCACCACGGTCCCTCACTAGTCCTGCTGATTCTTGGGACTAGAGCAACTGTTCCAAATGCCACCTCTTGCAATGCCAAACTGTAATCTGGCAGCCAGGAACACACATGAGACACCTGACAAGGAAAGGCAATCTCTTCACTTCCTCTGCATGAAAAGCAGCTGTGCCACAGGGGAGGATGCTGCTCACAGAGAGCCAGAGCTCATGGATGCAGCCTGGTGCCTTTTCCACCAGATACTGGCCCAAACTGGGAACTATGCTTAAGAAACCTATCTTCCTTGTCCAGAGCTATTCCTGGCACCAGTGCCCTCAGTGCCCAAGCAAGGCTAAAAGCAGAACTCATCCACCCAGGAATGGAACAACTGCACTATAAATAGCAAACCAGGATGGCTTAGGACAGGTTCTAAAAAACCCAAGCAGCAATATTGCCATCCACCCAGGATGCCTTGGGCACTTTGTAAGACCTGAAGCGATTCCTGAGCTACAGAGAAGCTTATACATTGCAACAGTGTGGAGAGAAAGCTGCTGTCCAGGCTAAGACAGCAAACTTATCTACAAAAAAGCACATGGAGCATTTTGCATTTTGGAAACGAAGTAGTGACTGATGGGGGCAAAAAAAGGACAGGAAGTGGATCCCAGAGGGGAAGCAGTTTCCAAAGCCAGGCAGCAGAAAGAAGAACACTCCCAAGACCCAAACTCCTTACTAACCATTCCCAGCACTCCTCCCCTCCTGCTTCCCTTTGTGTTCCCATCCCTGGGGCTTCTCGCACTGCTGAACTAAAGCCTGAACTTGCACACCAAAGGACAAAGGCAAGGAAGAAACAGCATACCTCAACTCAAGCAGCAGATGAGTGACTCAGGACAAAAGCTCACGTCTCCTGCAATCCACAGCCATCTCTGTGCAGTGCCCAGCCTGCACCAGGAGTCAGACAGAGGCATAAAAGCTCAGCCCATCCTATGACCATTAGGGTCAAGTTTCCCTCCTACTTCTAGGAAGAGTCTTATCCTTTCCACCACACTTGTCCTCACTACTCCCTCTTCCCTGCTGGTGGCTCCATCCGGGTTCACAAATATTCCACCTTCCCCTTCTCACTGACAGCATATATCTTATCAAGGGATCTCAGCCTCCACAGATGAGGATATGACCAGCCTCATGCAGCACTGCCAGGCACCAGCCTCCCACTCTCAGCAGGGAGCCTTGCTCTTTCAGCAATGCTGCAGCATGGCTCACTTGGGCATATACTGGGAATAAGAGCATAGGAAAGACTTGGGAAATCGAGAGAGGGATGTATGCACAGGGAAGGCACAGACCTGAACCAGATCATCCAGTATGTAATCACAAATGCACGCAGGGAAGCAGTTGCTTCCTCTGACAGAAAGGTTATTTTTGTTAGAACAGGAAGACAGCTCTCAAAAAAACCAAAACAAAACCACCAAATCCCTGCTTTATTGCTCCTAGAGCACCAAAACCAGACAGAGCATAAGAAGCAAAGACACCCAATGCTGATTACAAACCCACCTTGAGAATTTTGGAAACCCACAGCTCACTTTGCTTCCCCTCATGACTCTCCTCTCACCCCTTGCCCTTCCTCCTCTGCACAGCAAGCAAGAGGAGTGGTAGAGGTCTCGAGTTTAGCCAAGTTTCCACTCAGGGAACAGAAGCTTGATAACGGACTGGACAGGATGTGAGCACCCATTGAGGAAACGGATTAGTAACCCCCTAATCTGCACGTTTTGGAGTCTAAGCGCTTTACTCTGCTCTTTAATTAAACCCTGAAGTGCAAAGATTGCCAGAAGGTGGAGAACATGAAGAAAGAAGGAAAGGAAACTGGCAGTGGCTTAAAGGCTGTTCCTTGTGGCTTAAATGCAAAGAGGGGGGCATCACTAGTAGGGATGTATTTTACCTTAAATGCTTTATACCAGAGCTGTTGAGCATCCTGTTGCCTTCCCTGATCCAATCTATGGGAGAGTTGAGGGCAGGATGAAGGGGAAACTGTGCAATGGCCTGGGGATGACAAAGGAAGGAACACGGGGATCCATCAGACTCCACAAATCTTTACCTGTAGCAGCTTTGCCTGGCTGGCCACCACTCCCTCCTGAGTTCCCTGCCTCCTGGGAAACAAAACGAGTACCAGAGCACGTTTGTCTCCACTTTGCAGACCTGTCTACACAAAAGGGCCTTGTTCCAACACTTATCTGGCTCCAAGGTGGGGAGGGGCCGGTGTCTCAGTGCCCTGGCACTCAGGCAGCATGTTCAGCTCCATGCCGGGCTCCCTTGAATCTGCCTGGCAGGGGAAAGTTTCCTGACACAGGTAAAGAGGGAAACCTTTTACCACAGTCCATGACAAACAAAACAGTTCAAATAATGGCCAGTTTCCCTCAAGCTGTGTTCAGGCCCACTGTGCCCATGCCAAAGGCAGGCAGCATGCCCGAGTCTCCAGAAACTACCTGAGCAGTGAGGACAGGAGCCCCATAGCACAGCACAGGGAGAAAGGCAGCTGGTGCTGTAGCTGGAAAAGGGAGTGCCAGGGATCGGCCTCACCGCTCAGAATGTTCTGCCTCCAGCTCTGCCCCACCAGACAAAGGCAGGGGTTGCATGTGTGCAGGGCAGCCTGTCACTCCTATGTCCCTCTCTTCCCTCATTCCTATTCTTTGGAATTCCTCTCTTCTGTTTGCTTTGTTTCAGACCTCAATGAACAGGAAGAAAAGGGAAGGAGCCTTGACAAATCCGATCAAGGCACAGACATGCTGAGGCTCCCTCCTGCTGGCATGCCAAGCCCTGCACTAATGAGGGGCAGAGGAGAGAGAGATGGCCACTGAAAACAGGGGGCCCACAGAAACACTTGAGGTAAAGGACAGAGGGAAAAGAAGCTACTAGGACAGAACAACAACAGCACAAGCTCCCAGCCTTCAGAATGGAGGTCTTCCCATTTTTCCTGGCCCAGGGAGCTTGTTTGAGCTCCTCAGTCCTCCCAATGACCTACTACCCACTACACTAGAAACAAGCAGTAAAACGTAGTAGTGCCTGGGGAGAAGGATCCAGACATGCACACTCAAGTGAACAGCCATAGAGATGGGATCACACTTTATTCCAAGGATTCATGTGGCAAAGCTGGTCCTTCCCTCCAGAGAACTGGGCTAGAGGGGCTTACAAGTGCCAGTGCTTTTGTCTCCAGGGTCTCCCCACCGGTCCCAAATACCCACAGACTCAGGCCATGCACTTATCCTGTTTATCCATTTAGAAGCACTAAAACAGCAAGGGAGCACCACATGTAAATGATCTACTTAACACAGATGGTAACTAACCTTTGAAAGCTGCCAGTGTTGCAGGAGTAGCTGGGAACAGCTGGAGAAGTTGGCAGGGCCTGGTGGTGGCTGTGAGGACTCCCTTTAACCAAGGATTTGCAGTTTGGAGGGCAGATAAGACATCTCAGCTGTACTTCAGGGTTTTGGAGCTTGCTGTCACCTGAAACCCAAAAGACAGTCACGTGAAGAGCCACTGCATAAGAGAGCTCTGGGGACAGGTCCCTGCACAGCCAAGAGTGTCACAGATCAATGGCACCCAACACCTTGGTCCTGTACCCTTCGGTCCAGCCTGTCACAAAGCACAGCTCAGTGTCACCCAAGGCTACCTAGACAGCCCATGAGAGAACGACTATTTGAGCACTGCATGTTCCTAGCTGCAGATCACTGCACTGTCCCATAGCACGTTCCCCACCCACGCAAGGAGGGCTGTACACGTGTCCCCAGAATTGCTGGCAAAGGCACAGCCACTGTATTGCATCGCAACACACGAGTCTTCACACCAGCTCTTCAGCAGGATGAGGAGCTGGGGGAGGGATGCAAGTTCCCTGGCCCCCTCCCAAACACGATAGCAGCAGCGAGTGTCTAACTTGTGAGGCAATGAAGGGATTAACTATCACATCCAGTAATCCGAGCCCCTGTGACATACCCTTCGGCAGCCCCATAATGGGAGTTAAGAAAGTCTATCTAGATAAATGCACACGGGGAGTGAAGAGGGGTAAAGGCAGAAGAGAGAGAAAGCAGGCAAAAACCCACCACACAACTTGCACTGCAGAAAGCAGAGAGGTCTGCACATGTTACTCCTCCTCAGGAAATCCTCATCCTCTGCTGGGATCTTGCTCCAGCTCCCACAGAGCTGGGCACACACATTTCACAATGGTAGGCTGAAATGGGTAAGCCCTTCTCCCAGGAGGGTACAAAGATTATCATCTTGTTATCAGGAGAAAGCCCAAACCAGAAGCACAGTCACACCAATATGCTGGGGCAAAGGAATTGGAGAAGAAGTAGGAGTTTTGATTTAAAGCCTCTATATGCACACATCATTGCTCCAAGATGTAGCAGGAGCAGGACCTTAAAAGCAAATAAAAACCTACCAAAAGCATCTGTCTGCTTTGTCCCACCTGTTTTAAAACCCCGAACAGAGAAAGAAGTGTGCAGTGTGCTGTACTGTTGCACCCCTCCAGCCAAAGCAAACCCCAGGCCAGCCTGGCACAGCACAATATGACACAAGGGAAGCAACACTGATCCCAACAAGAGCTGGAATTAAAAAATAACAACAGCTACTACCTGAACAGTGAAATCCAGCAACTCCAATAATGAAGTACAGCACCACACTGCTCAGCAAAACCCTCCTTCAGCAACAAAGCCTGACACTATTTTTGCTTTGCGAGTCTCCCTCAGATTCTGGCTACAAGGTGACAGCCAGCGAGAGGACACGTACAGATCCTATGCACATGTCAGTAAACAGACATCCATCTCTTCCATCATCCCCACTCTACTTGTCCTGATCTGTCAGCTTCCACCTCAGACCAGGTCTAAGAGTGGAACCTCAAAGATGGATACTTCTGGAGCAGAGGGAACAGGATATGAACCAGGATGCCAAACCCTCTGGCACACATTCCTTTTGCAGGCAAAATGCTGTCCCTTGTGCTACCAGAGCCTTGCATTTCCAGGGAGCAGTTCAGCAGGTGAGTCGAGTCCCTGGCAGCCACATGGGACAGGAAGCAGAAGCTGCCTGCAACACCATTAAGTAGTTTCAATAGCAAAGAGCTGGAAAAGCAAAAGCCCCTTCAGCAGAGCTAATACTGAATGGGAGTGCCAGGCACATGCCTGCCACATACAGCAGTGCTGCCCACTGGGATCCACCACAGCATGACCACCAGCACCACTGGCACAGCAGAGCTCCTGTTCTCACACGGCAGGAGCCTCACCTCCAGGGTAGAGCCCATGTCACACAGGTGCAACCCAGCCACCAGCAGTTATTTATACAAAACTGTGCACAGGACCTGCAAGACCTGCAGAGTGGAGGGACTGATCTCCAGCTCTGCTGCCTTCTCCAGGTGGGGTCAGGGGAGCTAGGGTGAAGCTGGGGGAAAGGCAGGTCAGAAACCACAATCTCCCAAAAGCAGTTGCAGTGTCCTCTCCCTCAGGGCCCAGCTGTATCTCTCCCTTGGAGTGTTTCCATCAACTGAGGCCATCAGAGAACTGCGCGTCCAAAAGTTTTTTCCAAGTGCATCACATGGTTATTAAAAGACACGGCCTCTCCCTCTCAGCCTTTGGCACAGGCAGATTTGAGTATTACAGGAGAGACTGCACACTGCTAATGAATCAGGGAAGAGAGCTATCCAAGTAACAACGCAGGGCTCTAAATGGCTTTCTGGAAAAGGCATCTGGAGGCAAGAGGCAGTCACTATCTCGCAGCAGGGCTCTGCACACATTGCCAGACATGTTGTTCCTCCTGGGAAGCCAAAAAGAGTCTCTCCAGAGATGCCAAGTCTGAGCTAAGCTGGGAAGGGCAGGAGTACCCTTGACAAAGATCAGCAACAAAATGCCTCCAAATCAAAACACAAATAAAAGGCCCCTTAAGCTTGTTTGACCCGGGTTTCCCTTCCCCTTAGACTATCACTTCAAGTAATAGACCTGTCAGCAACAGTTCAGGAACTCAAGGACTACACCATCCACATCCCCTGCCAGCTGCTGCCTTTCCAGACCCCAGGAAGGCTGTCTGAGATCGGAGGTACAAGCTGCTTGGAGACTAGTTTGCTTCATTGCCTTTGTCTCCTCATTTGGACAGAGCTTTGGAGCTCTCCTGAAAGGTGTTGGTCTCCAGTGAGATACCGTGAGTGAATCAGGCCTTCCATTCTAGGCGGGGCTCATGTGACAGGGACTAAAATACTCACTGACACGTCTCGGTCTCCAGGTTATTTGGAGCAAGCCATGATTTATCCCTAGCTATCCCAAAGTATGGGTTGAGCTCATCCAGAAGCAAAGAAAATACATGGCCAGATCATGGTGTGGGAGCTGAGAAGGGCAGGAAGGGATACCCCAAGGAGACAGGGTCAGAAAGGACATCCCAAGCTTCACCAGGACTGCCCCCTTCCAACCACAGTCAGAAAGATCCATATACCTGACCTCATACTACCAGGCTCCTTCCCTCCCAACAGTGGAAAGACAGCAGGAAGACATGGCTGGGGAGGATATTCTCTTCCCACCCCAACACTAATCTCCCAAGACAAAGCCAAGCATCATTATACTGAGTCTATTCTCCCACATCCTGCTTGCCAGTTCTAACACCGGCAGGTGCTGTATGAAAACATCCTCACCCACCCCAGCACTCTGAAGACATGTTTTGAGCAAGGCTTACTTAGGATGAACTGCCTTAGACCCATGGCAGTGCTTTGCCTGGAGTCCGGCTTCCCAGAAATGGTATGGTCTTGTGGATCTGAGCAAAGAGTGAGACTCTGGCAGCCAAGCAAGCTAGACTTCAGCACCATATCCACAGATGGGCTGGCAGAACGTTTGCCCTTTTTTTTTTTCTGGTTTACTTCTTTTCCTACCATTAGTGCTGAGCCTGCACCC